TGGTGGTTTATTGCCAAGTACTTCGATTAAAAAACTGAGTGTGTGTGGGAACTGCACTTGTGACACTTGCAGGAATAATTGTGGCTGGTGACGGAAGCAGGGCTCCCTCTAACAGCTTTAGGGAATATATTGCAATAAATGTCTTGTTCCACAGGCACCAGCCTTTGCAAGGCTGCACAATTCAAGTGCTACCTTCCTGTCTGCTGTAAATCAGCAGGCTCAGGGAATAACTATCTTTTGCCAGCTCCCAGAGTCTGTGAACATCCTTAGAGCAGAACCTTTCTCATGCATACGTTTATAAATGGTTGTTTAGATTGCAGCAGAACGTCGGCTGTACTTCTATGTCTGGAGCAGTTTCTAAAAGAATCTCAATTACATACTACGAAAAAAATATAGTGAACTGTGCAGAAAAAAAGGTGAAACTGGTCTGCAACAAAAGGAACAGAATTTACATGATTCCATTGGTAAGATAACCATAATTTCATGAGAGCCACTGAGAATCAACACTAAAGAAATCAATTTTGACTGGCCTGAAATAGCAATATGCACAAAAATACTCAGTGAGTAAAGAACTCCAGTCAAATGGATTACCTTTTACCATGATAAACAACTGAATGAGAAAAAAAGGATTTAAAATTAATAAGAAAAAAAAAATCATTCTAAACTTAGATATGTTACATTAATGAGGTTTTCCACCTAGGACCGCTGATGGGACCAGATCTAAATTTTAATCTTTTTGAGCAAAACCTAACAAGAGGAGGTGTAGTGATTAAAAGTGCTCTTGTGAAAATGAAGCTCTTTTTCCAGCTGTTTTCACAAGAAATAATTTCCAGGAGCTTTTTTGGACATGTTCAATGAGCTACTGATACAGAACTAAAAAGACTAAACGCTTCTAAAGTGCTCCTTAGTACAACTGAACAAGCTTTAGTGCAATTCAGTGGCCCAATCCATTTTAAGTTATTGAGGTGAAGCAGGGATCTCCAGAGAAGGGCTGGTAATCCATCCACTGGGTCAGCTGTCCAAAACCAATGTGAGTATTCCCAGCAGGGTTTTGTGTGGAAAACTGCATTTGGAGGAAGCATGAAATATTCTGTTTTTATGCAAGTGTCCATCTCAATTAAATCAATGACATAATTTATAAATGATTTTGTGGCTTTGAATAATGGCTTGCTTACTGAAGAAGACTCTGCTTGGTGTTAGGAACTTGTTAAACTGAACTGTTCAAGGAAGGAAAAGAGATTGATTGGCTCCATGGGTAATGGCGTATCATTCATTTCTTGCCCTCTCAGGTTCTGTTTATTCTGCATTTACTTTTCCTTTTTTTTTTTCACAGCAGACATCACTTAACAAAATATTTATTTTCATGCCTACAGCATTGTTTGCCTAGGCAAATATAAGGCCCAATTTCAAAAAAAACCACTTCACCACCACTTAATCAGAAATAAGCACATACTTAAGAGACATCTATTTGAAATACCTAGTTCTCTTGATCAACCCAATTCTCTGAATTTCTGTAAATTTTCAATGCAGCGTCCAATGGGACAACTGAAGAGATAAGGAACAGAATGGTGAGGACTACAGCTCAGGGACTGAAGAGGATATAGAAATGCTGTAGCTAAACCATCAAATGATAAAAAGAGCAAAACAAGATATATGAGAAAAGATAATCTACTTTAACCCACGCAATTTAATTGGAGATGAACAGACAACTTTTGCAATGTAAGCCATTGTCCAAGTCACTCGGAAAAAAGTCCTGAAAATGTAATCAGAATAGACCTCTGCTTAAGAGCTCATCTATTCTTTTTCCAACCATGTCAATTAATCTAACAAAAGGCTTCTTTATATGAATTTTGCTTTGAGATTAGAGAAAGGAGACACAACGATCTGCAGAAAGCAGAGGGTAGAGTAACCCAGGATCACCCCAAAGCCAGCCGAGAACAAGTGAAGGTAGGGAAAAGAGCAGGTTTGCCACATGCAGTCCCAGAAGCGACGGAAGCAGAAGAGCACGGGGCTGGGCACAGCGACGGCCCCTGGGCACGGGAGGCTCTGGCACGGGACTCTCGCTCCCGGGCGTACAGCAGGCACCTCCGGAGAGCAGCTCCGGATGAGGATTTCTGTGCAGCTGACAAAGGCAGCCACACAAACGCCCAAATCCTGAAAATCCCTCTCCAATGACATTCTTTGTCACAGCATCTTCAAGGTGCTAAACCCCGCAGCACTCTTACAGTGTTTTCTTAGTAATTATAGCTACAGGGCAAACTAGCACCATAAACCATGTATCCTTCTAAGAAACATCAATTTCCTCTTCTCAGCTCTCTTTCTCCTCTTCCACTTTTCTGTTTCAGGATCTGCCTGTTCAGATTTTTCAGCCAGCCTTACCCTAACTTGGTTGGCTTTATTCCTACAACCCTCCAGGGCAAGCAGAAACAGCTAATGCACACCTGAATAACAAGGGAGGCATCTCCCAGTTTTGTACTTTACCAGGCTTTGTCGCCTCATCTGTCACCAAAAATTTTCTATCCTGATTAAAGAACAACCCTTCCCTCCAAGTCAGCTGCTGTCTCTGCCTGCTCCCACCGTCTTCTGCTAGCAAAACTTTTAAAGTCAGGCTAAGTTTAGGTTTAAGTCCCCAGCAAATTAGCTGTTGTCAGATGAAGTCAACACAATTGTCTGTTCCCCATTAAGATGTCAAGTCAAGTGCTATCAGTGCTCTCCTCAGATAACCTGAATAAGGTAATCATTGCCATTCTCCCCTTCCTGTTTTTCCCCTGCTCTTCTGTATAAATACTAATAGTATTTTATTTGCTAAATTAGCTAACTTATTTTTCAGAGTGTACCTTTCTTTTCCACGGATTGCTGTCCACGATAGAGATTTGTTGTTGGAATGTTCCCAGCTCTGACCTTGAATACACCGTGGCTCTAACACTACAGAAAACATCAGCTTTCTACAGCCAAATGGAAATCGCTGTCCACTGTCAGATAAGAGATAATGAGTAATAGACAAGCAATAAAAACATTTATGTTTGTTTTTGACTTTTTATGCAAACCCTCTGGTTTTAGCTATCTTGTTAAATCTAGTATTATCTTTGAAAATTAAGATTTTAATATGTTTGGAACAGTTTGTTCCTGGTAAAGCATGAATGAGGGGGATTAAATTATACCTGTATAGACTTTTCTTGGTGATTGGTAATTACACTGTCACTCATGATGCTGTTCATTGCACTTAGCTGCATGCAACTGGGTAAAAACATGACATTTCCCCCTGTACTGGACATAATGAGAATCTATGGCTTTTCAAGGAATCATTCATCAATGAGGTGGAGTAAACAAAACACGGGGAAGGCGCATTTGGAACACAGGTTTTTTTCTCTTCAAGCCACAGTATGAGAGACTTATTTTTACCCTGGGCAAGTAACAGGGGCCAGGTAACCACGCTCACAATACACTGAGAGCAAACAGTCTGCGTGTGCTTGCTGAGCACACAGGCTCACACCCTTCTGCCCACCCACCCTGAGAGAGCAAGCCTTTCACCTTGGTGTGGGTGCAGAGTGGTGCCTGGGCTGTCCGTCTGTGGGGTGAACATGATTTTGGGTTCAGCTTCACTGCAGTCAAATGCATCCTCCTAGCTCTTGACAGGGCTCTGTATATTGAAAAGCTGTGCTGGCCCAATGCAGGGCTTCTGCTGAAAACCACACCAAACAAAAACGGATCTTTGTGGCAGAGAGCCACACTAAATGAACAGCATTATGTTCTGAAAAGTTTCAAGCAGGAGACAGAAGTTCGCATTTCCACGAAACGTCAATTAACTTAATTTGTTGTTGTATCTGACAAAGGACATGGTTAAATCTGGAGAGGACTGAGTGAGTCCACAAAGAATCAAGAGTAACCACTTATGTTCTCAGCAGGTTTGTTTTTGCACCCAAGGTAAAAGTTCTTTGAAATGATGCTACAAAACATCCTGGCCTCAGTGAACCCTATCTCTGCACTTAGGCACAAAGTTTCTAATGTATGTTGGCCTCAGCCAACATTGCATGAAGTCTTTTCTCCCCCTTTTAATAAATGTCAGCTGTCCTAAACACAGTACTTTGCAAACTGTCAGAGCTTTTAACACTGACCTATAACAGGTATGTTTTAAACACTTTCGGGAGGTTATTCTCTTGCCAGGGTCACTGTGACTCGTATCTGAAAAAAAACAAATGACATCTCCCTGGCAGCAGTCTCTTTCCTCCCCTTCAACAATGTGCCGTCAATTTCAAACTCTGGAGACTACTTGCTGCATTATGTAAGCATAAACATGTTTCTATCGATTGATGTAACATCAGCACATGGAACAAGAAGATCAATACAGGGAAGTGCTTACAGTTCCAAAGGAAACACTGAGAAAACTGAGACAACTCAGAGCAGGTGCTGCAACAAATAGGTTTTTGATCAGCTAGGTGTTGTAGTAAAGTGCCATGGGAAATTCAAGGGGTGCTCACAGCTGATATTCTAAGGGAACATCAGTGTAAATTCTACCAGTTTATTTAATATTTTTAGTATTTTTGTATTTAACTATATCTAATATTTAAAGATGAAAGAGAACTACTCCACTCTTGCTTATAATCCACATTTGTCACATAGATTATTCAAAATCACACTGATAAACACACTGTATCTTTACTGATAATGCTTGACAGGAACATAGGAACACAGATTTTTAAATCAATGTATATTTTCTTCCACTTCGAAGGGGCTGGAGTCAAACTGACAGTGACTTTTTCTGAGAGCAGCAAAGGAAGGCTAGGCCTGGTAGGCCCTGGGAAAATGTTAGGCTGCACCTGTATAATAATTTAATGACTGTGATAAATGATATGATTGTTAGATGTGATGACGGTTTCTTAACTGGATATAATTATTGTTTAATCGTAACAAAAATAATGAGAAATGATGTTGGGGGGGCTTGATGGAAATTACAGAATCCATGCTCAGATGAAATCAATGCATAGATTGATAGAAATAGAAAAATATAAGCTGAATAATTAATATATAGTTATGTAATGATAAGGGTATAAAAAGGTGTTCATCTCAAACCCACGTCGGAGTCAGATTTGGGTCTGTACCCCTGACACCCAGAGCTCTTCAATAAAAGCACCTGCCTATAATCATTCTGTGATTGTGTGTTTCTGAACACTAACAACAGGTCCTGGATCAGTGCACCCCTCAACTGCTGCATGAGACTTCCTGATCCCCCTTCCCCTGCTGGGCTTGCTTACCTTTACCCCCACACCAATAAGGCTGTTATCAATGTACACAGCACCCCAGCCAAACTTGGGAGGATTGGTGCTTTCTCAGTGCAGCACGTTTTCAACAAGGAGAGAGACACTAAACTCTCTGATTCAGCAGAAAAGCTCTAACACAGTCTAATGCCTTTCCTTATCTGTGGAATTGTCAGGGATGCTGCCATGGATTGTAGGATCAGTGCAAGGTCTCCTGCAACCTTTGTCACGGAATTGCTCAAACCCCCTTCTGCAGGGTGTACCTTCAAAGTGTGGGGTGTGGTTTTTGGAACCATTCACTACTGAGGTATTTTACCATCAGGCATGATTTTCTTCAAAATTTTAATTTTAAATCTTTACACTCAGTACAATTTCATGGTTTAAAATACCTGCCCTTACACAGAAGTACAAAATGCCTCCCTTATTGTGCCATGACAGTTTTTTCATACACTTCAAATTTGTACTGGATCCCATTCTCTTCTTGGATATCAGCAGGGACACCTGGGTACCTAGGGAGAGAGGAGAAGAAAAAGCAAAAGCCAACAAGCGGGTAAGAATATCATCACGATTCACCTGTAATTCATCCAATCAACCAGAAAAGCAAGTTATTTGGGAAAAAAAAAAAAGAAAACATTGTTTTTTAGAACAGGTACACCATTTTTAGGACTTATACTAACTACTATCCATGATTTATATGCACATCTTTTAGACCAAGAAGGCATACTCTGAGACAAAACAACAACACCCCTATTTTTGACTTAAAGAAATACCCAACATTTTTTATTAAAGCCTCCAATATGTTATTCAAAATGTCAGCCAAGGAAGACAAGATTATGGAACATTTTGGTTTTTTTCCTTGCCTTGCTTTTCCTAAGTTGGTTTAGAGGAAATGCTAAGGACAAGGCTTTTTACAAGTTTGCAAGAGATTACTAAACAGGTGACTGCTACCACAGAAAGAGTTCCTCTATATTCCAGGTTTTCTAAACCACTTCTTATTAATAGATGCTTTCAAAAATCTTTTCATCTCCCCGCAAAAGAAGAAGGATTTTGTATGAGTAATACTGACTTTGAGGGAGAGATACATTTTAAATTTATTTGCTAAGGTTTGGCATAGTCAGGTTTCCACTTCAGTGAGGAAATTACCTGTTATTTTACAAAATCATGTTCTAACACCAATGTTCATTTCAGTACATTGGCCAAAAACAACGTATAGCTAGGAACAGCTGAGAGGGAGCGTTGGGGTCAGATCTCAGGACACTCAAATGAGCACAGAGTAGTTCCCAATATATTGGAGCTGGAGAAGATGACTCATCCTCCCCACCCACCTTGTCTGTCCTGCATCCCTCTTCCCTGCCCCTGCCTATCCTCCCCCAGAGCTGTGCTAATCCATTCCTGTGCCCCCCGAGGAGAGTTCCACTCCTCGTACTTTCTATTTCTTCCATTGCTGCTCTGTAACCAGCTGAGAGCCAAAACAGGAGCAGCAGGAGGAAAACAGGTCTGGTCCTTCTGGTTTTGAGGCAAAAATTCAGGGGTCTGAATTTTTTGCTGCTCCTCAGTGCCTGTTGGGTGTAATCTTGTTGGAGAGAACATAAAAACACAACAGAAATATGACAAAGATAATATAGAAGAAACCACAGTGAATGGCAGAAATGGTAAGTTTTTGTACACCTTTTCCTACTGCATTTATTAGGAAGAAGGAATTTTCTCAAGAGGGAAGGAATAACCTTAGAAATACAGAAAACTCAAGCCTCTACACCCAAGTCCATTAAATTTGTCTTTGACAATTTTATAAAAGACATTCAGAGGCCAAATACAATTTGCTAACAACATACTGAGAGTTACAAAGCTTTTAAAATATTTGAGTAATTCTAAACCAGGAAACAATAGGAAAAAGCTATTTTTGCAGCAAACTGACATAGACAATTCTTTACTGTGAAGATCATAGGAAAGGTGAAAAACACAGCAAGTTCCAAGAAAATCTGTGTAGAGTGTGGTGCCATTCCAGGTTGTAAGTGAATTTTTTGAGGGAAAAATTCACCTCAAACTCAAACCAACATGGCCTTTAATATGACCCTTAAAACATTCAAATTAGATTACTCTGAAGACAAGCCTGGTACTCATTTTGGTACTTACTCTGTTAGAAGCTTGTAGTCTTTATGGTCAATTTCTGGAAAAAATGTGTCACTTTCAAACTCTTTCAAGATTCTTGTCACAAACAATCGATGATGAATTGGCTTCTCCATTGCTGCCTTTAGAAACAACACAAACTCAGTCACAATTTTAGGTATCACAGGCTTTTAGCAAAGCAGCGAAAATTACACTCTGAATCTCCTCTTTTAGACTCTGCTGAAGAGCACTTTCTAAAGGGGTAATTTCACCCTGTGTCAGTTCCACCTGGTAAGTGGCAGCAACACCCTGTTCTCAGAGCCTGGGGCATCTGACAGAAGTTAGGAATAAAATTTGAATAGCCCTGTGAGAAGAAAGGAACAGCAGGCCCAGTAGCAACAAGCAATTTCTGAATCACACCTCTTTGGGAGACAGGAAGGTTTAAGTGGTGAGAGGTGCCCACACCACAAGGTAATTTGTTCTGATGCTTAACATCACTGCTAGGGATCTGTGCTATATTTTTTGGAATTCCAGATATCAATCTACCCCTTGGTTTAACTCCAAAGTTGAATCTGTTGCTCTTCTCTGAAAATGCTCCAGCACCTCAATGTCTTTCTTGCTGTGAGGGGCTTACTGATCACAGCATTCGAGGTGCAGCATCTCTGGATACTTCCAGAGATATTTATATTTCCAAGGTCCTTGGATGAAAATGTTCTAAGATAATGTTTGTTAGGTGAGGCTTTCACCAACAAATCCAGAAGTTAGGAATATATATTTTGTTTTGAGATTGAAAATGGCAACTCTTCCAGACCTTGTGGGCATTGCAATAACCCATGAAACGCTACTCTAGGGCTGGTTACAATACATTTTTGAAAAGCTTGTAGCTGCTCCTCTCTTTCGCTTAAACTGGCAACAAGCAGTGCTTTTTGTGGAAGGTGACTCACCATGCAGCAGGCTATTAGCTACTACTCCAACAAGCACAGGAACCAAGTAATAACAAATGGAATCCAATAAAATTAATTAACCACCGCTGAGAGGCTAATTTGTAGAAAAGCTGCTCTACTAGAGAACAGTTAGAAATGAAAGAGGTAAGTCACAGCACACAAGCATCAAACAGCACTGAACTGGTGTGTCCATCCAGTTTGTACACATATACCAGTATTTTTCTTTGTTTAGGGGTAAGAGGTAAGAAGAGTCACACTTGCAAAATGACAGAATAATAATCTGTTTCACAAATAAAAACAGGTGTTCTGTAAACAGAGACACTTTGTAGTAGAAGAACAAATCAACTTCCTATCCATCCCTGTGGCGAATTCAGCTCTATCAAGAACTATCTACCACCACAACAGGCCAGGGAGGAGCACAGGGAGGGACCGACCACAGGCGGTGCAAAGAAAGTTAAACTATCACAGATTAACTGTAATTTAGAAGGCATGATAAGTTAAAAATCTGGAATTTCACAACGTGTTTTTGAAAAAGTGTAACTGAGAAATTTATATAAGATAAAGACACAATCTATAAATTAAAGCACTATAATAGATCACTAAACGCAAATAATCAAGAAATAAGATGTAGATTTTGATTTGAATTTCAGAACGTTAATATTTCATTCAACAAAACTAGCTGAAAAGCCAATATTCTCACATAATCACCCTCAGGCCAGACCCTGCCCCATGGACCTGTTCCACCACCCTGAGCCCTGCCACTCCAGTTACTGCCCATGGGGACAGCTCCTGTTCCTTTGGGAACACCTGTTTTCCAGAGACAACTTCAGAGAAATAAATTCCGTGTCATACACGAAGCTTTCCACAGGTGGAGCCTCCAAAGGAGCCTGTTCACGGAGGCCTGGATTCTGACACCGCCTCAGTGAAATACTGCTGAGGACATGGCAGGTGGCAAAGGAGTTTTGTCATAGTTCTGTCCTTTCCACAAGGAATAACATAGGTCCTCACTGATATTCAATTCAGTCTTGCCCTGTCCAGCCCACTCCATCGGTTTCACCATTTTTTTGGGACCAAATAGAAATTAGAGGAGGCACAGAGCTGAGCTGGTGGAATGCTGATATACTCACTCAACATCATAAAACCATACCATACACATAAGGAAATTGACACTCGCATCTGTTGGTTTCTGTGGATTTGTATGTGTGTGTTTTTGTTGTTGGTGGTTTTGTTTGGTTTTCTTAACATCCTATTTAATATTTAAGGATGTGATGGACTTACAGGTCTTATTCCCAGCAAAACCTCAATGTTGTTTTTGACCCGTCTAAACCACACAGTTTAAATGTAGTTATAAGAGACTGATACAATTCATACTGAGTGGACTCAGAGTAACCTAGTCCAGTGGAAGGTGTCCATGACAAGAGGTTTGGAATGACAAGGGCCTTTAAACCCTTACCAGCCTAAACCCTTCTGTGGGCCTCTGACCCCTCCAGGGTGTGCAGAGAGCACTATTTTTCAGAGTCGAGGCCAAGACCTGAGCCTCTCAAGAGGCAGTATCTCCACACAGGAGCAGCAGCGTCTTGACTCAGAACAGAAACCTGGTTTTGAAATCACAGGATTGTAGAATCTCCAGGGTTGGAGGAGACTTCCAGGACCATTGAGCCCAACTGCTACTGATTCTTCCAACTCTCCCCACTCACCGTGCTTGAGGTGTAGGTGGGAGCAGCTTTGAAATCCACGAATGAAATTTCTTGGGGATGAAACAGAGCCATAAGCTGTGCTCCAGTACATCTGATGAGCTCTAACAGCTGTGGGGGACTCCGGGGCCAGCACCAAAGAGTGAGCCAGCACCACAAGCCCCCAGCACACAAGAAGCACTCACAAGCCAGCACACAGCCCTCCAAACATGAAGTGCTCACACAAAATCACAGAGTGCCTGCCATGAGGTGTAACAGCTTCTCAACTGCTGTAACCTACTGCTGGGCTCCTCCTTCCTCATCCAGGCAAACAACAGCAACCCCAGCTGCTCCTGGAGCTCAGGAGATCCAGAACAGTGCACAGGGGATCCAGATGGCATTGCACTAATATCCAAGCAAATTTACCAGGTAAGCCTGTGCTGTCAGAAGGCCAAAAGCTTCCCTGGGGGCATTGCTACTGCCCTGTGGCTACATTAGGAGAAAATGAACCTGATGAGGGACCAGTGTCCAGTCAAATTCCAGAAGATGACACCCACATGAGTTTTCCTGAACCCTCACTGAACTGATAGAGCTGTTTTCAATCTTTCCTGATCTCACTTGCCAATACCAACACTCCACCCAGCCTCTCCCTGTTCCCACTGCTCCCCCTTTCCCTGCTGCAGAGGTCAGGTCAGTTTCCTAGACTGTGTGAGCACAGCATCAGTGTGACCTACAGGAGGGCTTGGATGGCCACCACAGCTCACAGAGGGCCTGAGGCAGCTGATGCCAATCCTCCCATGCCCTGGAGAGAACCGTGTCCTTAAGAACCAAGGGGCAGTGGGAGAGATGGCCAGAACCAACAGAGGGATGCTCTGTGTCCTTGCAAGTGTTCACAGCTTAGGCCCTCACTCTCCGGCAGTCTGAGGAGGAAAAGGATGTGAACAGCAGCAAACCCCTGCCTCCATCCCACTGCTGACAGGCAGCATCCTGTCCCAAAATGCCACCCTGGAGCACATGCTGTAGTACCTTGGCTTGCCTCAGTTCCTAAAGGCTGGGCAGGGCACTGCAGCCACCTGCACCTGAGACTGTACCTGAGACTGAGGGGACACCCGTGTCCCAAAGGTGCACTCAGACAGCCGGGCAGCTGAGGCCCCTTGGCCCAGCCCCATGCATGAGGGCAGGTCGGGCCGGTGCTCCAGCACGGGGTCTGGGCCAAGCAGAGGGCACAGCAGCCCAGACATCCCCAACAGCCCAGTGTGGAGAGTTTTGTCAAAGAGTGGCTTGAGGAGAGAGGACACCGAATTAATTTGGTAAAGATGTCCTAACTAGGGCAGAGGCCTTTTTGCAGGCAGGGTGTCTGTTGAGAATGTAGCAGGCTAGAGACTGGAAAAGTACAAAGCCGTGGCTAATTCCAAGTCCTGCACCTGCTAGATAGTATGTCCTTGGGCCTAGCTGTAGTATGATAACCAATAGTGAAAGAGACATGAGAAAAGAGAGATGTAACCCCTGAGGAATGAGGAAGAGTTAGTGGTATAGTTTAACCAATAGATTGCTTGGCTTACAGAATATTCATAAGCTTATTATTTGCTGTGTAAGTGTTTGATGCTTTTTTTTAATAAACTGGACCTGTGATGAACCAGCTGGTGTCCTGGTCCCCTTCCTACGACAGCCCAGGGCACCCCCAGGGGTGCGGGAAACAGAAACCAGCAGGCCCTGGAAGGTCATGGCACACTCCCTGCTCACACCATCCACAGAAACAGGCTTGCAGCATTGTTCCCAGAGCTTGGCTACAACAGCTCTGATGGGGTGCAGCTCCCCAAGGCAAACTGATTGATGATACTGTGCTAAGGCTAGGAGTTGTGTTAAAAAGCTCCACAGGACAATAAGCCATTGTCTGAAATAACGATGTGGGACCTGGAAGCGCTGTCTGGCAATGGCAAAGCTGACATCCTCACATCCTGTGCATTCTGTGTCAGCTTCCTGCTCCCCGGAATCCCACTCCAATGGAATGTCACCAGACTGAGCTCATGGCCCAGGAGCACAGACCAACCTGGCCACAGCAGCTGCAGTGCTGTCCTGAGGATCCCTACATCTTCCTTCTCCTCCTCGGACACGCACAGCAGCCCTGATAGGCTGTCAGAGCACACGGCTGCCTGTGCGATCCCGATGGAAAACCACTGTGCCCCAAGGAGTCAGCAACCCACAGAACAATTACCCTGCACACACCATGCTCCTTGCACACAGCATGACAGGGTCACACAGAAAACCATTAACAGAGAGCCTGGAGGCAGATCCCACTGGGAACCTGTAAATCTGCCACCTGCAAGAGCTTCCCCTGGTCTAAAAGGGCAGCAAGGAACCCCCATGGGAACATTCTTCCAGTTTGACAGTAGAAAGCATAAACAGACCTGGTTTTCCCCTGTAAGAGAGTCCTGTCACAGCCTGAATAATCAAAATGGGGTAGGTCTTTCTATGGACAAGAACTGTATTAATGAATAGAAGCAGGTCTCAGCCTTTGAGCCACACAAACTAGTGAAATCAAAGTAATGCTTTAAAACCAAATACCTACAACTACTGAACAAAATTATTCTCTTCAATTACCAATTGCTATTTTATTTCCCACACATTTCTACATAGTATAATGGAAATATTCCTGTAAAATCCTTTGTGCATCTTTAATACAGGCACTAAAAATATTAGTTGTAGGGAGCCTTCCCTTCTTCACACTGGACATTCCCATCTCTCTCAATGCCTGTCCATGTCCAGGATAGCCAGGTCTCCTATTACTTTACACATTCCCTTGTACTGATCAGTACAAATAGTACTTTCCAATTTATTCTCGATCAAAACTGCCAATTTATAACGTGAGCATTGGTGAGTCACGGTCTAAAAAAAAGGCATTACTTTCTCCCGAATATCAGAAGCCTCCAGGACAGATGCTCTTGGAAGAAGCAGCAGAAGCAACAACTCTCTACAGGTGAGCCTGTGGCAGGGAAGGGGCCAGTGCTGCTGCTCACAGCTGGCTCTGGCTCTGCCCTCTCCAGAAACCCTCTGCATGGCACAGGCACTGCCACGGCAGAGAGCCAAGGACATTTCTCCTGTAGGATAACATCTGATTATAGGCTGAATGCATCTGCACAGGGAACACACGGTGGACTTCACCACGAGGAACAACAGTGCTATTTCACCTCATCTTCGAACAATCTTGGCAATCCCTAACTACTTCATTCCTTTACTGTCAAAGATGCATTTCCTCAGACACAGAGGTTCATGAAAAGCACAAAAGGCAAGAAGCACCAGAAAAATGCATTTTCCTACCCTGTACGCAGGGCACAGTATCAGCCCTGACTCCCCACCAGGTGCATTATGGCACTGTCACCACACATCTCACGTCTGAGTGCCCAGCAACAACTGCAGTCTGTCTCCCAGCATGCCTGTAATGACTACAGGGCAGCAGCACTGTTCCTTTTACTGTTAAACAGAATTTGCTTTACAACTCTTGACCCAGGGAGTGGGAGCAGCAGGAACACTGCTGGATGGGAGAGCAGAGTGAGTGCGACCTTTTGTTGTGTGGTTATCTCCTGTTATTGCAACACCATGACCTGTCAGCTCTCTCTAAATCCTATTTTCTTCTCCATTTACATGTACAAAGTGTCATACTCTGGGCTAAACATGCTGGAGCACTTTTCCTTTTTTTTTCTTTTCATACCCTTTGCAGGGTCAGTCAGCAATTTCAGTAAAATAAACACAAAAACACAGGCTCAGTAAAATAAACATAATAATATGGGCTTTTTCTGAAGAATCCAGCAATTTAGGTATTTATGAAAAGCTCTCAAAAGCACAATAACAGTGTGACACTTGCCCACTGGCAAGGGCAATGCTCAGCTTCTAGACAGGTATTCTGAGCTTGAGAGTTGAGATCCTACTCTCTGAGACCTGTCCTGTGGCAATCTCTGCAGTTTGCTGGGAATGTGAAGGGAAAGCACCCCCTAAAGCAGCAGTAACAGGAGCTTCATCCTCATCCCATCACAGAAAATGAGTAATTTAGGAGGAGGCTAAATGTACCTTGTACACTGAAGTGCCTCCCACGATCCAAACCATGTCTACTTTACTTTTCAGCTCTGGTGAATCCAAAAGAGCTAGAGCATCATCCAGACTTTTGGAAAGATAATGTGCTCCTTTTGGGGCTTCCCTAGAAAAAGCAAAGCTCTGTTACTAAATAAATCAAGGACAGTTGATCATGATCATCAATACACTCTAGACACAAAATGTGCTTTGCTGAATTAACAAATAACCACATGCAGCACGTCAGTTAATTATTTTGAAGTGCCTGTTATTGCTGAATTATGTATGAAGTCTCATCTGACTGTAGGATTGTTCAACAGATCACAGCATAACTGTAATTTAGAAGGCATTCTAAATAAAGAATCTGGAATTTCACAGCATATCTCTGAGAAAGTGTGACTGAGAAATTTACATATCTATAAGATAAAGACAATCTATAAATTAAACATAGGTCATTCAATACAGATAATCAAGAAATAAAATGTAGATTTTGAGTTGAATTTCAGAACTTTAATATTTCATTCAACAAAACCAGCTGAAAAGCCAATATTCTCACATAATCACCTGCAAATCCACCAACATCCTCCAAAGCAATAAAGCACTACAAATGGACATTTGTGTTTAAAAATATTTGTGTGACTGTGGGTGATGCGTTCAAGAAGTGAATTCTGAAAAAGGACAGTTCATCCACAAATCCCAATGAAAATTAACTTCAAAAAATGAAGTCTGGGCCACCAGTGTATGCAGGAACTAGAGAAATACAGTTAAATACATGAGTCAGAAATACTACTGAAAATTGTCAAATGGTTTGTGAGTAGAGTGAAAAGCAGTACTCATGAAGCAAAGTAATGACAATTACCTTGTGAATTAATTTTTAAATATTCAAAATTAAGAGTAAGGTAGTCATAACACTCAGAACCAACAGCAGAAATGCTTTCTAAACAGGTATCAAAAATGCTACATTTGGGACTACTGTATGCTGTAGCACTACAGACATTTTTTGGTGCAGGTTTTTATTTGTTTTACAGGGCCCTTATTTATCATACTTACTTGAGCTCCCTGCTGAGCACAATATTAATCCTGTCTTTTAAAGGACGGTTCTTCTCAGGGATGGAGAACCATGTCTTTTTACCCATTATCACTGCATTCTGTTTACCTGAGCAGGAGAGAATGGATTTGAATTGTTTGGAGACACTGATGGACCTCCCCTGCCTTCCCAAGCCCCTCTGCAGCAGTGAGCAAAAGCACAAGCTCAGGCCCCAGTTCCCAAATGAGAACTGATTTATAAAGCCACAACAATTTCCAGCAGAAGAACCACTCAAATTAAACCCAAAGCCAAAGTGCTACAGGTGATCAATCATACCCTAATATTCACACATAAATATGATTTCTGACCAAACCCAAAAATTCATAACCTGATTACCACTCATATGTAAAACTGCTAAGCAAAGGAATGTTTCTCTTCATGAGGAAAAGGAGTTATCAGACAAAAAAACCACAATGCCAACATGGTCACTCTTTCCATGCTGTTTCCAGGATGAGACACAACAGAGGCAAAGGTGACATCCCTGGTGTGAAGATTTATGGCAGCACAATCCATTGAGAAGTCTGGTTATGAAGCACTTTACCTGCCCAGCATCTGAGATCACAGCTTATCAAAAGATCTGCAGGCAGGACAGAGCAAAATGTTTCTTTGTAATTATATTTCAAACATCTTTTTTCTTGATCACAGCTTATTTCTGCCAGGTAAGATGCAACTTGCAGACATCTAAAAAGAGTCACAACTGTCAGTTGTGTTCTGCCCTTTTTTAGTACGCACAGGGTTGCAAAGGGTTGAACCAGGTCTTCCAAACATACATAAAGTTTTTCACTCAGTACTGTTTCAAAATGAGATCAGGTATTCCTTGTGGATTATGGAACATTCAAATCAGACAATTTGAGTAAGTCTCTTAATCAAAACAGACTTTCAAAGCAGAAAATGGAGTATGGCACCTAATAAAAATATAGGAATGTACGAAGCTGCCCAAAAGTGAGTTTTTACCAAACAAGTGAATTTTAACAGTATTAAAAAACCCCTAAAGAAACCATGAAAAAGTGACCGTGTTGACAAACAACTGAAGTATTTCTGCCCTGTGGTTTGGACTTCATGGTGCATGGATTTGGCTCAGCACTCAGAAAACTCAGCAAAATTAGAAACAAGGGTCAGAGGGGTGGGTCCAATGGCCAAGGCTGAGCCGCAGCAAACCAGCGAGATAAGCTAATGCAGACCGAAAAACACCAAAACACCTCTGCTAATTAAGCAGCTTGTGAAAACCTTCCCATTTTAACTTGGAGTTTCGTGTAAAGGTTTGTTAGATAAACTTCAGATGAAGTTTTCTATTCTTCTGGTGAAAGAAGGGACTTGAAAATTGCTCCGTAAGAGGACCAATCTGCAACTCCTCTGAAATACCTGCTTCATCCTCTTTCCTCACCTAGCACGGGCGATTGAAAGGGTTGAAATACAGGAGGGACTTGTGAGGGCAGGCAGGGCAGAGGGCCGAGGCAGGGAAAGGCCAGGGCCGAGGCAGGGAAAGGCCGGAGCCGAGCTTGGGGCGCCACACGCCCCACACGTTACCTTCCACACGGGCCGTGCTCGTCATTCTCTGGAAGTACTTGTACTCATTCCTGCCGGGGAAGCACGGACTGCGTTACAACGTGCCTTAAGAATAAGTTCTCTAATTTATATATATATTTCTTTTCTGCAAGTTCGTTAATTTCAATGAAAAATCCCCCCGTGATGGATGTGTTGCTGGAGGCCGGGGAGAGGCGGTTGGGCAGAACTGAGCCGGTGCCTGGCCGAGACGAGACCTTTGTCCCCCAGCTGTACTCGCATGAGCGATAACCTGCGGCCACCGCATGAGAGAGAGCCCACGCAAAAAACAACCCCACACTGGCGCTCCCGCCACGCCGCCGCTTTCCCGCCTCACACAGCATCCTCTCAAGCACTACAGCTCCCAGCGCGCCCCGCGCGGCCCCGCCGCGCCCGCCGGCTGCCGCGCGGCGCGGGGCACACTGGGGGCTGTAGTGCGGGCGGGGGGCGCGGCGGCAGCGGGCCGCGGTACCTGAGCGGCGGCCAGGGTAGCCGCCCGTCCTTGCCGATGCCCATGTTCTGGCTGACGGCCACGATGGAGTTGAGCGAGCGCGCCATGGCCGGGCCACTCCGCGCCGCGCCGGGGCCGTGCCGTGCCGCGCCGGGGCGGGCCGAGCGGGCGCATCCGGCGGGAGGCGGTGCCGCGGCGCGGGGCCCGGCCATGCCGCGGGGCCCGGCTATGCCGCGGGGCCGGCGAGGCGGCGGGGCCGCGGGGCAGCCGGTGCTGAGCAGGTTCTTCGGGGCGGCGGCGAGCGGCGGCGAGAGCGGGCCCCGCTACACGGTGCGCGGGGCGGGTTGGGGCGGGCTCGGCCCGCTATCCCGGTGTCCATCCCGGTGTCCATCCCGGTGTCCATCCCGGCGTCCATCCCGGTGTCCCTGGCCGCGGCACGGACACTGCGGGACAGGCTGCCAGCTCCCGGCTGTACGATCTGTGTGGGCACCGGTGCCCGGGTCCTCAGGGCCAGCCGGGCAGGAAGGAGACAGAGCTGCTGGACAGGGCCCAGGGCAGGCCCCAGAGAGGATTTGTGCTGTGCAGCATGTGTGGGCTGGGCAGAGCCTGCGGGAGCTGGGCTGGGCAGGCTGCAGAAGGGAACGCTGCCAGGGATGCCATCAATGCCCCCCAACATCTGCAGGGGCTGCCAGAGCACGGGCCGGGCTCTGCTCGGTGCTGCCGGTGCCAGCAGCAGCAGCAGCGGCCATCAAAGAAAGGGCAGCAGGAGGGAGAACTGGTGTGCATGGAGGGACAGCAGAGCCCTGGAGCAGCTGCCCAGGGAGGGCCTGGAGTGTCCCTGTGTGGAGCCATCCCAGCCCCAGCTGGGCACCTTCCTGTGGGATGCACCAGGGCACCCTGCCTGGGCAGCGCTGGGCTGGGAGCTCCACAGGGACATTCCAGCCCCAAATCCCTTGGGATCCTGTAATACAGGATGTGCCTGTTATAGGGGAGCTGGGGCTTGGCCCAGGTTTGGTGATCTGGGCAAGGCCAGCGTGTTGGTCCATGCCACTGTTGCTTCACAGCAGTGTTGAACCCCTGTGCCTTCCAGTTTTGCAAAATGTGGAATAATATTAAGGTTATCATAAGTCAGGATGTTCTCTGGGGTTTGATCTTTGTGTACTTTGAAGCCTGATCGGCCAGAAATGAGACCTGACCAGTGGGACAGGCAGCAGCTGCATCCCTTAGTGAAGGGCTCCTGCAATTAGCAAGTTTTAGGGATGTAAATGAGGATGTTGGTGTAGGTCCCTGCATGTCCCAGGTGCTGGAGCTCAGGTGACTTGGGGCCTGAGTGGTGGTAGGTGCAAGGCCGAAAGAGCCTGCAGTGATGCAGATCCTCCCTGTGTTACCCCTGGGGAAAAGTGGCTGTGTCTCTGCAGGTGGATTTCATTCTGCGTTTGTATTTTCCACTCTCCCTGTTTCCAGCCCCTTCTGGCCCTGGAAGGCTGTTTGCTTTTTTTACCTGTGACTCAAGTCAGCTACTTGGGTTGCCTTTGGTCCAAATATATGTTGAAAGGTGTGGTTACATCTTTCTGCCCTTGTAGAAGAGACTTCCTAATTAGTGCTAATTTGGTGGTATTTAACAGTGGGCTTGAAAACTGCTACTCATGTGGGCTGTGGTTATATGGAGGTTTTGGGTTTAGTTGGTGAGGTTGGACTTCCTGCTTAGTTCCAAGGAAATTTAAATTCCATGGTTAAACCATCTGAGGTCACGATATGAAATGTGGATGCAAGCTGCTGAAAGCACCTGTTGTGTGCTTCTGTGAGAAGGGTTTATGTTCTGTTGGATTTACAAGTTACTTTTTCATATTTAGTAAAGGTTCTTGCAAAAGGTCAATGATGAAACAGCAAAATTGGTGAATTTTCTGTTTACATAGTGTTCTAAATGCATGTTTCAAAATACATCTAAGGAGCAGGATGCTCCAAGCTCCTCCAATCTGGCCTTGAGCAATACCAGGGATGGGAGGTTGGACAATTTTGCCTTAACTTATTGTGAAGCTGTTTGTTCCCTTTCAGAGAAGAGCAAACAGAAAAGGTAACTGAACTTATTAGCTTAATTTGCTTTTCAGGCTTCTAAATGTGGCACAAAAAGGAGCACATCTACTGAAAGCAACGAGCCATGTGAAAAGAAGACCAAGGCACGGCAGATTACTCTGGAAGAGATCTGCAACCCACTGAAGACTCAGGATAAAAGTGAGTTGACTGTTAGCAAACCCTCAAGCATTGTCAGCCAGTAAATAAATTTTTCATTGTCAGCTGCTCTGTTGCCTCAGAAATGCCTGAGTTCCATCTGGCTTTGAGCAGAGAATTTAATAAGGTAATGCTGGTATGAAAACCAGTGAATATAAAGTTCATTACGTTTCAATAGCAAGAATTAGCCTCTTGAGTTTCAAAGTGGGAACGGTATTAAATTTGTTGGTGTGATGCTTTGAAGTATCACTAGTACACCCTCAAGAGGCAATTCTGTCTGCGTAAAGAAGCGTATGGAAAGAAAATCTGCTTGATTCCCATTCTTCTTAGCTAACTTTATGGCTGTGCAGTTGTCAGTCCTAAAAATAATCTCTGATAATCCTAAAAATAATTCCCACTCACAGAGAAGCACACATGTGAGGAATATTGGTTTTCCAGGGAAGGTAACCAAGCTGTTTAAGTGCATGGTTCTGTCAGGCTGGAAATACTGAAATACAAAAATACTGCAGTGGGAGAGGAGAGGGAGCACAGGGAAGAGAGATGTGGAGCAAAATGGTAGTGTCTGTGCTTACTGATGTTCTTCTAATAGATGTTCTCTTTTATAAAATAAGTTGCTAATGTGTTTTTGTTGTGAATTTTCACCAAAAGAAGAATCTCAGAAGTGTGAGAAGTCCCGTATCTGTTTGGAAACTCTGGGCAGGCTGAGAGAGTTCTGCAGTGATTCGAACCAGCAGTGCACCAGCCTCCGGGAGGAGGGCTTTCAGGAGAAGGAAAAATGTCCCAGTGTTACTGGGAGGAGCTCAGAACTGAAAAATCCTCTCCCATCTTGGGACAGCGGCCCAAAGGTGGCACAGAAGGTATGCAGAGCTTTGCCCCTGTGGGATATGTGTGGATTGCTTGTTATGAGTTAAACCAGCAAACTCTGGCACGGGCTGCCCTTTGTGCTCCTGCGCTGTGATGTGTAATGGTGCAGCAGAACCCCACAGACCTGTGTTTGTGTACAGATGTCTTCCTGAAGCTCCTTGCATGCTGAGCAGGTTGGCTGCTCTGGCTCCTCAGTGATGCCATTGAACAGCAGCATCCTGAGGGAACAGAAGCCCTGTTGGTGTCACCTGTGCCTGTGCAGGAAGCTGTAACACCTTAATAACTAACACGTGTTCAGAGAGACACTTTGCTCAGCTTCCTTTCAGTTCCAGGTGTGGGCTCTCAAACTTCCAGCAGGCATTCTTTGCAGAGACATGTGTAGGGTTATCACTGAGATGTGGCTTAATCCAGTTGCTGGTAAATCTAACTAGTAAAGGTATCACTGCTTTTTCATCTGCAGAAGGTGGGGGTAGCTCACACAAAAATTTGTCATGGTGATATCTATGGTGCAAGTCAAGAGACTTGAACGGAGTAATGGTATTTTGCTTCCCCTTCACTTGTGGGGGTAGTTAACATTAGTTAATTGGGAGGGGTTTGGGGGTCAGCTGCTCAGGTCCTAGAATGCATCTCACGGCTTACTGTGGTGGCTGCTCTTCGGTGGAGTTCTCCATCTGGCTTTTTGAGGGAAGGAGCTTGTATGAAAAGCTGATTTTAACCTTCCCTGTCTGAGGGCTGTGGCCTTTACCTGGGAGGGGTTCTGCTTTGTGTGGATGTGGGGTCCAAATGCTGAAGTGAGCAGCTTGTGGCAAGATAATTCTGCCGTGGTAAGGGCTTGAGGTTCTGGGGATGTGGTCAGTTGGAGAACCCAGAAAATTTGATTTTCCTTGCCTTCCTTGGAAGGGATCCTTTTAGCTGTTTGTGTCCTGCTTTTTACTTTGTAATCTTCCTCCAGCTGGTAACTTAGACCGTCTCACCAAGTCGGCTTTTGTGTTTGTTTCTACTCCTCTTGCCTGGTTTCGTGCCCTTATTTCACATGGTTTGTCATGACAGTTTCCTGTAAAATGAGACGAGGTCACCCTGTTTGGCTGGCACAGACCTTGGGCCAAAGGGTGCTGAGTCTGTGAGCTGAGGATTTTGCAGCAGGGACACCTGAGCTCCTGAGGCCACCCAAGTTCTGCGTGCAGGGCAGCTTTATTTGAGCTAGGCTGGGTTCTCTTGCTTAGTGGTGTGCAGTTGTGAGGATTTTGCAGTTACAGCTAAGTCTAAGTGTGTTTTTCCCCACTTGTTCTCTGACTGCACACTTTGTACGTTCCCATGACCCAAAATATATAAGATTTAAGCCATCTGGTTGGTTTTTTTTTTTTGGTTTTCTTTTTTTTTTTTTTTTGTTTTGTTTTGTTTTGTTTTTTTTTGTTTGTTTGTTTTTTCCTGAATTACCATTGCTGCTAAACAGTCTGTTCACTTTGTTTCTTGTAATCTGAATGGGACCCTTGGTAGAAATGGAAGTTTATTTGATTTGTTTGCAGATGCAGAATTTGTAGCACAACCTGATTGTGTTTTGAATAGTCATATGCTTTAAAAAATTCTGGAGGGTGTTGTCTTTGTATTTTTTTTAACCAATACTATCTGTATTTGATCTTGTGGTGTAAGTGAGGAGGAATTTTGCTGTAAGTGAAAGACTTCTCAGCATTTTTCTCTGCACTTCTGAACCCATCACTGCTGACAATACAGAACAGCTCAGCATGGTAGAGCTGAAGTTGCTTGGCAAGAATAGGCTACATAATGTCATTGCAAATGATAAACTGCAGACAGAGTGAGCTCAAAGCATTTCACATTTGAGGTTTTAGAAACTGTAGTGCTGATTTTCTGTGTTTAAGTTGTGAGAGGTTTGCTGAACTGGAGGAAGTGCAAACTGGAGAAGGAGTACGATTTTGGTGGCTGAGACAGGGAACTGAGACTCACATTGGTTTGTTCCTTGGCTTACTGTGGATTTTTGGAACATCATTTATCTCTTCGTGCTGGAGTTTCTCACCTCTAAACTGGAGCAGC